TTCAAATTTAAATAATTCTTTTTAAAACTTGAAGGCAATTGAATAACTTAACTGAAATTTAAAATTTTTGATGTTCTTATGCAAGATTTTTTTTTTAATTTTCACTTTATTTTTATTTTGTTCTTTAGTTACTTATAAATTTGTAGTGTTATTAGTCGTTTGTTTAGTAAGATTATAATAAAAATATAAGAGGTACTCTTTGTATCTTATTTTATTGAATCAAAATTATTCGATATTTCTTTTGTCTCGATCATAGATAAATTTGGTTATGTGAATAAGAGACTTCATCTTAATCGATGGAAATATTATATTTCGAACTTTGTATTTTTTACATAAATCTTAAAGTACTTTCAGAACATGTAATTATACTTGTTTTAGTTAATAAATTTTTAAATTGAAAGATTATATATACAAGTAATAGTAGATGAATTTTTTATTATATTTTATTGTCACAATATTATATTTCGACTTTGTATTTTTTACATAAATCTTAAAGTACTTTCAGAACAGTAATTATACTTGTTTTAGTTAATAAATTTTTAAATTGAAAGATTATATATACAAGTAATAGTAGATGAATTTTTTATTATATTTTATTGTCACAATCAGTAGCATTTTTCTGAACTCGTCACTGGTTATTCACTTGTTTTCCACGATGACTTTAGATTTTTTTAGAAGGAAGAAATATGAATTTATCATAAATTGAATTTGAAATTATTATTTACATTTAAAACTGAATTTTTGTAGATAAAATTTAAGTTTATTTATATTAGTTTTTATTAATTTATTTTCCTATATCAATTTTTGAAGGTTTAAAATATCATTCAACTTTTTAATTTGTTACTTTTTTATTTTTATAAAAGGGGTACCTATTGTTTTTTTAACTAGTTTAATAAATATATTGATCAAATATTACACATTTAGCATCTGAATTTGTTATTATAAATTTGATCAATCAATTGAAAATCGTATGAGAAGAGTGAATTGATTTTTTTTTTTAAATTATTAAAACTCATTAAAAATAAAACTTAAAATGACGGAAAGAGTAATACTGATACAACCCATAATTATACAATTATACAGTGATTATTCAAACTTGTTTTAAATTAAAATATCTAAATAATATAAAATGATAATAAATTTTAAAAAATCGCATAAAGTAAAATTTAAATGATGTAAAATCTGGTACGGACTAAACAACCTCGGTCTTTATTATCTTTAGAGATTATGAGCTCAACCGTGTCATTTATAGGGATGTTTATTATTATTTTGATATGACATAATATTTTTTATTGTTTAATGTAAAATAATTTAAAATGTAAAATCAAACCTAGACGATAGTCGATAGTGATGAGAAGAGACGATAATTATTTTAAATAATTTTAAATTTAATAATTCTAAAATATTATTTTATTATTTATTTTAAATTATTTTTATATTTAATAATACATAAGAATACCATGTGAATAATAATAATAATAAAATAATTTATAGGGACCAAAACAGAAACAATAAAAATAGGTAACTTAATAAATTGATATTCTGACCTTTGCTGAAATTCCTCAAGAAATCGAAATTCATAAAACTAAAATCCAAGATATTTCTTTTGGTATGCATTAAAATCCTAACGTGTTTCGATCAAGAATTTAAATTACGGTTGTGATCACATTTTTAGATTGTGTTACGTTTTTCGCGATTGCGGCAATAGAAAATTGTATTGTGATCATTGTGAGTATCGTGGTTCTAAAATAACGATTCCGAACAATATCTTTACCACTATGTAACAACTGCAACGAAATAATGGACTGCTATTTATATCCCTAGTTCAAGCTAACAAACATCATGAAAAATATATACCTTGTAAGTTATTAGACCCTAAATATAATCCTTTGAGTGGCAAATTTTCAATGCTTCTCGAAATGATCCACTTAAATTTATTAATAAACAATATGTAGATGCTCGTTTTATCCGGAGCATCGTCAAGGATAAATCCCAACTAAACCATTACCTACCCAAATTCCCAACCGAATCCTCATAGGAAATTAACATGCAAGAAGACAGAAGGATTAGGTGAAGAAAAAAAGGGAAAAAAACAAAAGGATTAGGTGAAGAAAAAATAAATTGAAAATGGGGTCGGTTTTAATGGAATTAACCATTAGGTATTCATTCGGTTAAAACGGTGGTTGACCGAACCGAAATACCCTTAACTAAATTAATCGAATTTTTTTTAACCGTTAATCGAACCGAACTTTTTTTTGAAAGTATTAACCGAACCGAATAAATTTCGATTAATTTTCGAATTAACCAAAAAATTTTAAAATTTTAAAATTTACTATTTTTTAATTTAAAAAAAAACAAGTTGCAATTAATTTAAATAATATCTAATTAATTTGATTCAAACATTTTGCATTTAATTTTGAGATTATTTTAAATAATTAATATTGATTTGGGTTTTAAATGAGTTTTAAATAGATTGGGCATCTTAATATGATTATATTTAAAGGTTAATTCGATTAATTAACCGATTTTGAATCGAATTAACCGTTAACCGAATTTTAAAAAAATCATTAACTGTTAATTAATTCGGTGACCGACCGAATTAACCGAAATAATTCGGTTCGATCGGTTAATTCGATTAAAACTGAATTTTGAACACCCGATTAACCACTAGAGATTAGCACAAGGAGGAAACAGTTTTTAGGGGGTCCTCTGCTACTAGATGGAACGGAAATAATAGTGTAAAAAAGAAACCGCTCCTTCCATATTCGAAAGAAGGAATAAAAGTTATAAGAGGAGGCCTGATTCTGATTTTTCGGGAAAGCAATAGCAACCAAAGAACAATTCTTTTGGTATGTTCTGTCTTTCTTTCGATTTTTAGTATTCTCTATGGGTGTTCTTATTTCTAAACAAGTAAAAGATACAGAGAAGTTGAGCTGTAAAGTTTTTAATGGCTAGAAATCAAATGTTTGTTTTTAAGAATTCCATTTTTAATCCGAAGGGTTTTATAAAAACGCTTTCCAAACATTTTGAAAAGGGTTGGCATTCGAGCAATCTTAGAAACCAAAAACAAACAATACGAATCAGAAGTTTTCTTGGAGGCATTTTTTTAAAGGTTTCTAGCATATTTTTCCCAGGAGGTTCGAACTAAAAAAAATAAGAGAGAGATTTACCTTAGTGGTATGTCGCCGGAGTTGGTGTTCAAGTGTTGGTAGTCGGTCGGGAAACCTTGCATACGGGTTATAAAAAAGGGATCGTGGGTTTTTTAATAAAAAGGGTTAGAATAGCACCAAGTATTTAGTTGTGTTTGAGCTAGGATTAGGGACTTACCTGGTCAAGGATGGCGGCGATGGAGGTTCTGGCTTAGGTTATATTCGATCGTGGAATAGAGGATGAAGGAGAGCGGCTGAAGTTTCTACGTGAAGTTAGATTAGGTTTGTATCTATTTAGTTTAGGTTATATATTACAACTTTAGGGTAAATTAAGTTTTAGTCCTCTAAATTTCAGCACCTTAGATGAGTTATTTTCAGTGTAGACCCTGTAAAGGTTTTCGAATGCATTTTGGTCCCTGATTTGATATTGTTTTCATTTCTGATTTCGCCATCAAGTTCTATGCGTTTTACACTTCAGTCATTAGACTCATTTACTTCAAGTTTTATTTATTCGCACATTTGGCATCCCATTCTTGAAATTTGTATTTTAATCTCACGTGTGATTGGGGTTTACTCTGGTTCCAGTACTTGTCGTTTGGTTAAGTTGCATTTTAATCCCGCAAGTGTTTTTATTTCATTTGTTTGTCATTTGGCATGGTGGTCCATTTTAAATACGTGTATATACAAAAACATATATGCATGGGTTTGTTTGTGGCTAAATTATTTAAATACGTATTATATGTATGTATTAATGCATTTGTTTTCAAAATCCTATGAACAATGAATAGTGGGTATATATGAGCATTAGTATGTTAACATATATATTTTGTGCATAATTTTGGATGTATGTTTACATGTATATATGTACTATGTTTTTTTATTTACTTATTTAGTATTGGTAGTATGTATATAATGTATTCTTGTTTTTCAAATATCTTAATTATTTTAATTGGTATAAAACCATGTAGATTTATTGCTAACTTATAATTTTAATTGTATGTAGTTTTATCTTCTAAAATAGAATACCTTCATAAGCATGTCTAAAATAATAAGTAGGATTCATGTATACTGATTTATCGTATATGTATATGTATTCTTGCATGAGATGTATGACATAATAAATTACTTGGCATCATTGTTTGCATAATATGTATGCTACTCTCATGTGCATAACTCAACCTAATTACATAATCGGATTAAGGATAATACCCTTTTAATTTAAAATTGTTTTGAGTAGCTTGTCTTAACTTATTAGGGAGCTGCTTTCGATGATTTTAAATTAAAAGTGTATCCCATCAGTAACACCTAAAAAATTGTTTCCCCACTTAAAATTTGAGAACGAAAGAAAAAGAAATGTTCGGTTATTTAAATTTTTCGAGAAAATATTGTTATAACTTATCTAAGATCTGATCTCTATATTTTTAAATAATTGAATATCCTTCATCTTTCTAAAAAGGCTTGGTAATTTTAATTTAATAAAATTCACATTTTTATTGTTTTATGAGATCAAAAATCAAATTAAATTTGAATTTGTAAATTTCATTGCAAATACATTAATTAATCGACTAGGTACCGATTTAGGACGTTTTGGGGTGCTAATCCTTCCCCACATGTAATCGACTCTCGAACTCATTTTCTGGTAACACATACCTCAATTTGTTGTTTTAATTAAAATTAATTTTTATTTAAAATGACAATATTTTTGGGTGCCTAATCACTTCCTAATTAAATATTAGTGACGACTCTTCGAACCGTATTTTTCTATCGTAAAAAAAATTTCAAATTTTTCGAAACGATAGGTTTTTTTAAATTACATTCTCTTTTAATTAAAATTTAATCATATAGTGATAATTAAAAATGGTGACATAGATCATCGGGTAAACTTCCGAAAAGACTCTTGTCGTCAAGAGAAATCTCTTTCAAGGAGGAAATCTTGAAGATGAAAAATGGAATTCGACCAAACAGTTGATTTGATCCCAGATCCAAGATCTCCAGATCCGACATGTTGACAAGTGTTTGAAGGATTTCCCCGTTAAGATCGTTGTAGCTTAATCGAAGGAGCCTCAAACGATGCAACTGCCCCAATTCTATAGGTAGGTGGCCGTAGAAATTGTTGCTGCTCAAGTCGAGAGAGCGCAGAAATGAAAGATGCCCAAGGTGTGGAGGGATAGTACCCTTAAGATCCATGTTTGAAAGGTTCAAAGCAGTAACTCTTTCATGGATGACACCACAAGAAACACCGACCCATTTGCAAACCGAGCTGGACGACGTCCAATTATTTGTCAACGCATTTCGAGGATCCTCGATGCGATCTTTGAATTGCAGAAGTGCAAATCCGTCGGTGGTGAGATTCTTAGTGCTCATAGCTAAGCAAACTATGAAGCAATGCAACCACAAAACAAGAAGAAGATGAAAGCAAGTGGTGATGTTCATGATTTTGAGATGAAATAAGTCGATTGAAAAAAAGGCGAGTGGAATTTTTGAAAGTGTTGATGATGAAGAAAATCCCAGATAGCATGCTTAAATAGGTTTAAAAGTCTTTTCACAATTCTCTGATTTAGAATTTACTGCAATTACAACTTTAATGGACTTTTTATTTTCAGATTGACATTTATCGTTAATTTTCACCAATTTAACGATGCAAAATACATTTTAAACAAAATAATTTTATTATATTCTATTTTCCCATTATCATAATGTCCATAATTTTAATTTTGACTAATTTTAATTTAATTAATTAATTCCTTATGTTGTTTATGTTATTGATAAGATAATATCATATTAAGTAAATAATTAAAGGAAAAGAAGTTGCTTATATATAGGATATGAATGAGATTCTGGTGTTATTTGTCGACATGTCTATTGGAGTTACGACCGGTTGTCTCTTACCTTTCCAATGGTTCTTGAATCACATCAATTCGATATTGGGAACTCAATATATGTTCATTTTAGTGAAGACAACACATACATAATTTCCTGTACGAGATTAATACGAGTTTTTATAAATATTACAAATTTTTAATATTTTTATTGATTATTTATAATATAATTTAATATAGGATGATATATTATATTTTAGGGTTATATTTATTATTTTATTAAGAATTAAGGTAGAATTAAAACAATTATATTTAGTTTATTGTTATTAGGAATTAGGATAGTATTGTTATTTGTAACACTTAGGGGTTAAATTTTAGAATTTATAAAGTTTTGAATTATTGTGATATTTTGTAAAAAAAAATTGAAGAATTTTAATTGTAAATTGTCCTTCTTTAATGTTGGGACATTCTAGAGTTCACGTGAAAGTCCATTAATGATTTTTTAAGTTTATTTTATAATAATAATTAAGGTAAAGTATAATAATGGTCACTGAACTTTTCTAAAGTTTTCATTTAAGTCTCTCAACTTTTAAAACTTGCAATATAATCCCTTAATATTTAGTCTATTTTCAATATGGTCCCTCAACATTTAGGTCGTTTACAATATGGTCCCTGACGTAACTGTTGGGGGACCATATTACAAATAGACTAAATGTTGAGAGACTATATTACAAATTTTAAAAATTGAGAGACCTAAATGAAAGTTGTAGAAAAGTTCAGTGAACTTTTCTCCTGTATAAAGATTAAATCCAAATTAAACTTCCATGTCTATGCATGTCACCGAGTTGGATTTTTCTCCTGTATAAAGATTAAATCAAAGCTACCTCCACCACATAAATGATATAATATATCAATTCAAATCTCAATATTTATAAGAGTAAAGTATAGTAATGGTCATTGAACTTTTTTAAAGCTTTCATTTAGGTCCCCAACTTTTAAAACTTGACATACAATCCCCCAACATTTAGTCTGTTTGCAATATGGTCCCCCAACAGTTACGTCGGGGACCATATTGCAAACGGAATAAATGTTGAGGGGTCATATTGAAAATGAACTAAATATTAAGGGATTATATTGCAAGTTTTAAAAGTTAGGGGACCTAAATGAAAGTTTTAGAAAAGTTAAGTGACCATTACTATACTTTACCCTAATAATTATTATACTCAAAATAAAGGAAAACCACAAACATGAGATATTTTATGAGAAACCGTGTTTTAAAAATGATAATTTAAACAATGAGTATAGGAAGCTTAAATCAAGTCATTCATTATTTTTTTCTCTTAATTAAATAACCCCACCTACGAAACCACCACCACTACTCAGAAATCATGGAGAAGTTTGAAAACTCCATCTATCAGAGAAAGGTCTCTCTCTTAGTCTTCGTCTTCATAATTTTTTTTCTCTAGGCTCCATCAGAGAAGCAAAAGAGTTAAGCAAGAGCAAGCTGAGATTATTATATGTGTGCAAAGAAAGAGAAATAGGTAAAGATCTCTTTACTGATTAATTATACTAACAAAGCAGCTTTGAAGCAACATAATGAGGAAGTGGGCGATCCCTTCTTCTTTGATTCTTATTTGCCTTCTCAGTCTCATCTCAGATCAAGGTAGAAAAGTACAGGCAAATGCCGAGGAAGGAGTCGTAGATCCTCCAAAAGTCGAGGAAAAGATCGACGTTGTGCCTACCGGTTACAAACTGATTCTGATGTCGTTAAAAGGGAAACTGAGTCGATTTCTTCTAGATCGCTTCGCAATAATGCGGAGAAATTTGAGTTCCAAGCTGACATTATTATCAATTCTCTTTATAGCAACAAGGATATTTTCCTCCGGGAGTTGATCTCAAATGTTGTTGATGCGTTGGACAAGATTAGGTTCCTTTCACTCACAAACAAAGAAGTTATGGGTGAAGGTGACACTTCCAAGTTGGAGATCCAGATTAAGTTGGACAAAGAGAAGAAAATAAAAGAATGACAGGCGCACATGGTTTTGAGATTGTTAATAAAGTGAGAATGAGAAAATTTCAAGTAAGCCATCCAAGTTTGGTAAGAGCTTAAACTATTTTTCTAACTTCCAAATTATTATGATTATGTCATAATTGTTTCAAAATATATTTGGAAGGTCACGTGGTTTTGGATAGGAAGATGGTCAAATCACAATTTCAGTCCTCCATTTTTGGGAAATTATGTTGGGAATCGAGTTCGTATATGTGATGTTGCGGATATGTGAGAGAAAAATTGGAAGCTCGACCAAATACCTCTCGTTCCATCCGTATGCGTAAGTCGTAATAAGTCGTTCGCATGCATCCGAATCCGAAGTCTGTTTCGTCAAATACAAACCCGGTAGACTGGTTTTTTTCATTGATTTATCACTCGATTCGATCCGTTTTTCGGAATTAAGCTCTATTTTTTAATGAAATTTATATTGTTATGTATTTGAAGAATCATTGGAAGTTGAATTAAAGATCGAGGGCATTCGAATGGAATTTATATGGTCGATAAGTATGACACGGAAATCGATGTAATACGTTACTACCTCTTTATGCTTTATGGAACATGTTGATAATGGATAAATGCATGAATGTATATGATTGGATTATTATGCATGTTTGATTATGGATGGATTCGAACCGAATACGGTTTAAGTGATAAATTAGTTAAGACTCGATAGAATTACAAGTTCTATGATTGAGTGATAAAGGAATCAGTCCTTAACATGTGAATTATAATTTATCTTATTAAAGGTACTTGGATGATAAATTATATGAATACTTCGATTAGGTAAAATTACGAAAATACCCTGATGTTGTAAAAAAACAAGAATTGACCCTGGAAGTTGGATAAGAAGTTGTAAATACATATTGATCTAATGAAACTACTGATGTATATGGAAAATACTAGTTTTTCATAGGAAATCTGAATAATCGATTTCTAAACCCAAGATGGCTTGTACAAGATACTAGAAGTTTGATAAGGAATATTTTAAAGTTTAAAGATTATCCGAAAAAGAGATAAACCCTAAAATCTCTTAATTATAATTATCTTTGTTAAGAATTTTAATACCGAAATTAAATGGTTAAGAAATTACCCTTGAGAGGAAAAAATAGCCCGAATTGACCCTAAATGGAAAAGTACTCAAGAAGTCATGCTTAATCGATGAATTGCTAGTTTCATCGTTAAGATATACGTTTATACAGAAAATTTCTGATAATCCGAAAATCTCCTAGTTATGAGTAAACACTTGAAGAATAAATTATCGAGGGTGCTCTTTTTTCAGAATTGTTTGAAAGGACTGAAATAGATTATAAGTTCGAATTAAGTGATAAGATCGGACGGAATGAAAAGATTGAAATATCATGGATCTGTAAAATAACCAAAATACCCCTGGAATGGAGATGACTCTAGAATATCATCAAGCCCAAGAATGAATGGATATCCTCAAGCTCTGAAATAAATGGAAAAAAAACATTGAGTACCAAAATGACCAAAATGCCCTTATGGTCTAGACTAAATAAATGTATTGGGTTAATTAAGGAATTCAAATAAACATAGGGTTGTATTACTCTTAAAAGTAATGGAACTCAATTTAAGTGAGTAGATCAACTCTAATGTTATGTCAGTACCTGAATGGCATTGATATCACTTGAATGCGTGTTCGTTTTCTCAAGTTTGGATCGATGATAATTCTGGAAGTACTTGGCTCAGCTCAACTCTAGAGCATCTTCGGTACTAAGAAGTGGATATTCGTGAGACAAATCAACCACGAATACATGAATGGCTTTATTATATGATTCTGAAAGGAAGTACAATATGTATCTAAAATTCAGAAACGTCTGAATTACTCTGGAAAACTATGAAGTAACCGGGATAACATTAATTGCTAAATTAACCAAGCAACCTTAATGACGGAGAATTTAGTAAGTAATTAGATGAGTCTGGAATTAAAATAAAATTGTATGATGTACGGTCCCTATGGTTATGAACTAAGAATCAAATACGTCATCAAATCTTGATATTGTTGTAATGTGGAAAGAAAATAAAGATTATAAGGATGCATGTTCGATTCCTTAAGGTATATATTTAGCGATGATTCTGAAGATGAATTATGGACAAGAATTGTTGGTATTATAGAGTGAATATCAGGAAGGGTAATGAATTGATCAGTATACAGGCATCGGTTCTGAGAGTTGTTCAGCTCAAGTTATTTTGATAATCTGATCGATCGGCATAAATTGTAAGTGTCTTGAATTTTCGTTTCTACAGTTTCATCTCAAATCACTTCGGTAATGTCTGAACACGTAAGTAATGCCCTTGAAAGGAAAATATTCCGAATACTCCATTTGTTTCAATTGGGCTGAAATCATATGAATTCAAAGTATATCCCTAAATATCCCTGATTGTTTGGGTAATGGAATCACTCTCATTAAATCTAAATCTAGAATTCATTCGGTATAAAGGTTCCTGAACACTTTCATGATGCTCCTGAATCATAGTGGGATTCTAAAGTATCGATTTTAATGTCTGATTTGAACGACTAGCAATTGACTCATTTTCAATAGGACATCGTTCATGGAATCTGATCAAAAGACATCAGTTTCATGTTATATATGTTGATAACTGCAAAATGCTTCTGATAAATATTAGGATTTCTCTAGTATGTTCCTTATTTTTTTATAAATTATTTTGTTGTTTTAACATGAGGTACACTGAAATCTATTGTTACTGTTTTATGGATGCACCAACTTAATGGTGATGGCTTATGGATTTGTATCACGGTATAAATTGTATCTTGGAGATACATATTTGTAAAGTACAGCTTTGATCAAGTTAGAATATTTTTATGGACCTAATATGACTCTTAGGTATGCTCTGCGACCCTGAGATCATTCTCGGGTAGGCCCTGCGGCCCTAAGATGTGTTCTTAGGTAGGCCTCATGGCCCCGAACTTTCTTGGGTAGGCTCTCAGGCCCTAAGATGTTCCCTTAGGTTAACTCTTTGTAAGATGGTTTTAAAATACGAGTTTAAAAAGCTCCACTACAGTATGATGTATGGGATTTTACTGAACTATCATTTGATTAGTGTACATATTATGATTTTATCGTACTGATGGAACATATTAGATATCCTAATCGACCTCATGAAAACGTGATACCATGAAAGGTTTCTTATGAACTGAGATTCATGGCTTCTAATCGATGAACTACTAATGGAACCCCAAATTATTCCGCAATTGGTATACGTTTGATTCAATAAGGAAATTATGGCTTCCCATTTATCTGCATGTCATGTAGCATCATCTGGTAGTTCTGTATTACTGAGCTTTCCGAAGCTCACTCTATTACTCACCATTGCAGGTTAAAAGAATTATACCGGTACCACTATCAACATCAGTAAGGGAGTTCTTCCGACGTGGTTGCAGAGTATGGTACATGTGATTAGGGGGTATGTAATTGTATTTTTTTTATATACGAGTCTGAAAATATGTTTTATTTCTGAATGCTGATAAACCAATTATGAGTTACATGTTTTAATAAAAGTTTTAAATTTTCCGCTATTTTTACAGTGAGTTGCTCTGGTAACCCTAATGTGACACTCCAGATCGGGTCGGGCTACCCGCATCGGTCTTAGGGGGTTACATTATTTCTATTTTTATTATTATTTTCAAGCATTATGCATATTACAACAAGGACTCAATCACCCTATATAAAGGGGGCTCATCCCACAATTGTAAACAAATCTTTTCTTAAATACAATACATTGAGAGTTTATCTTTGAAAGTGTTGATTACTTGTGTCTTAGAAGCTTCTTTTCATTAAGTTCTTTTCAAGTTATTTGTGAGAGATATATTCACACTCCAATTTGCCTATTCATTGCGATTAGGAGGGCTGGTTAGAGCCATTTATCGAGTTTGTCTTGTCATTGCGACTAAGAGGGTTCGATAAGACAATTATACATCTATCCCCATTTTCACAATTCCATTATCTTCCCCTTCCATTCAAATATTGTCGCTTTTATACGAGTAACATTCATTCATCAGCTGCTGCATCCCTTTTAAGTTGCTTATATATAAGATATGATCGTCTTACATTTTTTTCTTGGCAGATAATTTCATATAAAATTTGAATAAAATCTATCTTAATTATATGTTTCGCTAAAAACCACTCTAATACTAAACGAAAAAAAAGAAGACAAACAATCAACAACAACAAAACTAGACTACCAAACAGACAAGGCAAGCAATGATACTCTAAAACAATCTACCAAACAACTAACTTACACAACCACACAAACAATCCCAAAAAGCTGAACATACATACTAAGTAGTCTACGGAAACAACCAACCCCTACGTTGATAAACTGGAGGTAAGCAGTTTAGATTTAATTATATTTTATAATATATAAATAAATACTTTTAAACTCACAGTAAAACAACGTCTCTTTTTATCCTAATCTTAAATCTCAAACCCAAAATCATAAACTCTAAATTATAATCCTAAAAATATTATTTTATTGTGAGTTAAAGAATATTTATTTACGAGTCATAAATTTTATTCATTGACTTTAAATTAATATAAAATTTATTAATTTTTTATCCTAATCTAATAACTATCAATTAAGTAGAGAAATAGAAAATGAATACCCATAACTATTATTAAAATATCAACTAACCGATACATACCGGTCAACATTAAACAACCCAATTTGAAACAAAGACTTGGCTAATGCTACTAAGGTTGTAAAATCAGGTAATCAGACATGTTTCAGTCGGATCTTGGCAGGTGGGGTAAAATAAGGTACATGTCAATTCAGGTTGATTTGACATCAGATCCAGATCGGGTTCAGGTCAGGTCATTTTCAGTTTGGATCGATGTCAGTTCAGGTCAAAACAGTTCAGGTCTGAAGCAGATAAAGACCAGGTTAATTCAGGTTCGGGTGGACTTCAGTCAGATCTCGTTCTGATCGGGTCACATCATTGACAGATAAAATTTAGGTCATATGTTTACCGGATACGGATTGAGTTCATGTCGGGTCGTTTTTATTTTTGGATTAATTATTTTTTCATCTTTCCTGATTATTGAATTGCAAGTTGTAATTGTATATAATTTCGAGTAAATTAAGAGAAAAATAAATATACATGGATCAATTTTGTAAAAAATATAAATTTAAGGAAAAAATTGAAGAAATGTAAAATTACAAATAAAATTTTAAAATATAAATTAAACAACACACATAGGTAAGGGACTAAATCAAAATAAATTTAAAATGTGACGTTTAAATTAATATAAAAATGACTAAATTAAACACATTTAAAAAGTTATGGTCAGTTACAAAAATATAAATAACAACTAACAATGGGCCAAATGAAGATGCAAATATAAATTTAAGGACTAAATTGAATACATATAAAAGTGAAAGACTTAAAATTGAAATAAATTAAAAAACAAAAAAAAGGATTAAATCAAAATAAATGCAAAATGTGAAGAAATAATGAAAAATATAGTAAATTGCATTCATTTAAAAAATTGAAAAAATATAATATATATATAATATAAGTTTATATATAAACTATATTTATATTATAAACTATATAATTATTATAAGTTATATATAAAAATTATGTTTATATAAAAAATATATAAATTATATAAGTAAACTATATATGTATAAACTATAAAAAGTATATAGTTTATAAACTATAATTTATATTAATATAGTATATATATATATATATATATTATTCAAAGTGAATGATGGGAGAAAACTTTTTAAAATAAAGATTTTTTGTGGGAATTTTTTTATTTTATTTGGAAATTTAGAGGAAAATTGGGAAATTTTGAGAATATAGAGAAATTGAGAATTTAGAGGGAAATTGAGAAATTTAGAGGGAATGGAAAATTTTGGAGGGAAATTAAGAATTCAGATTTTATTTGGAAAGATATTTTGGGCTAATTAGGCTCATGCTCCTCCAACAATCATCATTTTTCCATTTGTATTTGATTTTTGATTTCTTTCATTTAGTCATGGTTTAATTGTAAATATCTTCTTGAATTTTTAATTCGATGCAATTTAATTATGTATACATTCTAATTACTTTTAATTTTCTATATATATATATATGTATGTATGTATGTATATAAACTATATATGTATAAACTATATAAAATATATAGTTTATAAATTATAAATTATAAATTATATTAATATAGTATATATATGTATGTATAACTAATATAAGTAATCTATAGATTATATATATATATATATATATTATAGAAACACTAAGCATAAACTATATAAAGTAAATTATTTATATAGTTTATAGAAATACTATGCATAAACTATATAAAGTAATAAAATATATAGTTTTATAAAAACCTTAAACCCTAAATCATGAACCCTAAATCCTAAACTTTAAACCATAAACCCTAAACTCTAATATAAATGGACTAGCACAAATGCATATATATTTGTAATAAAAGAGTGGGCTTATGTATTGCGCCTATGTAAACTAATGTATATGAACTAGCACTATTGCAAATGAACTTATTTTTGGGTTTTATTATTACTTATTCATAACAACAAAATAAATGGGCTATTAATGTGAATTAACCTAACATGCAATTAAAATACTAATTATGCAAATGAAATTAATATGACATGTACTACTATTTATGAACCATATAATATGCAATGTGACATACTAATTATTTAACACATAATTAATCATATTTTATATAATTTACATTTAAATAAATTTATTAATTTTATTAAATAATTTTATATAACATGTATGTATAAACCCCCACACATATATATAAACTATATAAAGTAAATTACTTATATAGTTTATAGAAACACTGCATAAATTATATAAAGTAATAAAATATATAGTTTATAAACTTTAAACCATAAACACTAAACCATAAACCCTAATGTAAATGGACTAGCACTAATGCATATATATTTATAATAAAAGAGTGAGCTTATATATTGGACATATGTAAACTAATGTATTGCCAAAATTATTTATATTAATAATGTAAAACGTTAATATATATTACATAATAAATACTTTCATTATTAATATTATTTTTTCTTTATATAAATTAAACTATATAATTTTCCTTTTCATTATTAATTATGTTTTATCTAATTTACATTTAAATAATTTTATTTTTTTATTAAATAATTTTATATAATAGGTCTATTTATTAATTTAATTATCATAATAAATATTTTATTATAACATTTAAAAAGTCATATTAATTTTTTAATTTCATCATAAACTAAAAAACTCATAATTTTATTAAAATTTTATAATTTCGTCCATGGTAATATATAAGTAAGGTAAATATCAGATCAAGTCATTAACAAGTCGGATCATTTACAGGTCAGGTTGAAAACAGGTCGGGTAAAATCAGTTATTTACTAGGTCAATCTCGGGTTCGGGTTCATATCAGTCGGATGCAGTTCGGGTTCGGGTATCATATTTTCGGTTCAATTCGGGTTCAGTTCGTTCTCAGGTCGGATTCAGATCCACAATTTCCAAGTCCAACTCGGGTTCAGGTCAACACCAGTTCCGACACGAGTCGATTTCGGATCGCCACAGCACAAGTCAAAAATAATTTTGACTCGAGTCTATTTCAGTCAGTTTTACAGATCAGATCTAACTTTTTACACCCCTAAATGCTACCACCCGATCACTGACAAAGACATAGATATTTTAAAAAATCGATCCCTGTAGACTTTTTCAAGGAAAGGGTTATATATTAAAAGTCTATTTAATTTGATTTTTTAAAATATTTTAAAATAATTATATTTGTTTACATCTGTTCAATATTTATTTCTTCATTAAACAAATTTTTTACATATAATTCCAAGGCCAATCAATTTATGTAAACGTGGGTAGACTTAGAAGTCGGGTCTTCTTTGATGTGGCAAATCACTCTAATTATATCGTGTATAGGGGGGGAGGTAGGCCTGGGACTATTTAGGTCATGAGAAAAAATAATAATTTTATCAAATTTACTTTTAATTATATTTTTATTTAATTAAAATTAAATTAATTAAAGTTTTATTTAATTTCAAAATTAACTACAATTTAATCTCTTCAAAATCTTAAATTAAGAGTTATTTTTATAACTTATATAATGTGATGCAATCTTTTTCTTATTTATTTATATTCATTATGTGCTTTTTCAAATTTAAATAATTCTTTTTAAAACTTAAAGGCAATTGAATAACTTAACTGAAATTTAAAATTTTTGATGTTCTTATGCAAGATTTTTTTTTAATTTTCACTTTATTTTTATTTTGTTCTTTAATTACTTATAAATTTGTAGTGTTATTAGTCGTTTGTTTAGTAAGATTATAATAAAATATAAGAGGTACTCTTTGTATCTTATTTTATTGAATCAAAATTATTCGATATTTCTTTTGTCTCGATCATAGATGAATTTGGTTATGTGAATAAGAGACTTCATCTTAATCGATGGAAATATTATATTTCGAACTTTGTATTTTTTACATAAATCTTAAAGTACTTTCAGAACATGTAATTATACTTGTTTTAGTCATTAAATTTTTAAATTGAAAGATTATATATACAAGTAATAGTAGATGAATTTTTTATTATATTTTATTGCCACAGTCAATAACATATTTTTGGACTTGTCACTGGTTATTCACTTGCTTTTCCACAATAACTTTAATTTTTTTTAATGGAAGAAATATGGATTTATCATAAATTGAATTTGAAATTATTATTTACATTTAAAACTGAAATTTTGTAGATATAATTTAAGTTTATTTATATTAATTTTTATTAATTTATTTTCCTATATCAATTTTTGAAGGTTTAAAATATCATTCAACATTTTAATTTTTACTTTTTTATTTTTATAAATGGGGTACCTATAGTTTCTTTAACCAGTTTAATAAATATATTGATCAAATATTACTCATTTAGCATCTGAATTTGTTATTATAAATTCGATCAATCAATTGAAAATCGTACGAGAAGAGCGAATTTTTTTTTAAATTATTAAAACTCATTAAAAATAAAACTTTTTGACGTAGTCGATTTACAAAGGATTAATATATATATATTTACAAAAAAAAATTAGGTTAAGGGTGACTCCTCCAATCCAGGGTCATGACATATGTAAGAATCAATTAAGATTCATATAGGAATTTACAGATTGTCCACTAAGAGTAACAGTGGTAGGATTCGATCTTGACATTACAAACTCAAATTCTTGAATCCTAACCACTCGTACTAACACTTGTTGACTGCACATGATTAATATATATTCGTTAGAAAGAGTAAATAGAATATTTAATTTTAAACGTTATCCAATTCTATAATAACAAATACGTAAAAGCCAGTCAACCATGAAATTGTCTAAACGCCTTGCTTGCTTAGATAGTGCAAGAGGATATTTGATGTGGAAGGGGGCTTTGTTTTAACGTTGATAATAAGGTTTACCTTTTAATTGTAAGAATAATTTAAAAAGAAATTTCAAAAATTTTAAAGAATTTTCCATAAATGTCTAAAATCTTGAAATATTTTGAAAATTCTAAGAAACAAATAAATCATAGAAGTATTTTATATTAGTTAAAAATAAAATTGAAAAAAAAACTAATATACGAATCTTCTTAAAATGACGGAAAGAGAAATACTGATACAACCCATAATTATACAATTATACAGTGATTATTCAAACTTGTTTTAAATTAAAATATTTAAATAATATAAAGTGATAATAAATTTTAAAAAATCACATAAAGTAAAATTTAAATGATGTAAAATCTGGTATGAACTAAGCAACATCGGTCGTTATTATCTTTAGAGATTCTGAACTCAAACACATCATCCATAGGGATGTTTATTATTATTATTTTGATATGACATAATATTTTTTATTGTTTAATGTAAAAACAATTTAAAATATAAAATCAAACCTAGACGATAGTCGATAGTGATGAGAAGAGACGATAATCATTTTAAATTTAATAATTGTA